GTGAACATTTGTTTCTTGAGCTTTGTTTATTCTCCGATAAAATGCAAAAAAACAAGAAAAAAAGAAAAAAAAGGAATAGAAAAATAGACGGAAAAAAAAAAAAAAAAAAGAATGATTGTTATTCTTCGATTTTAAAATAAAAGAACATTTGTTATGTCTTTATTACTTGTCATCGATTAGACGTTATTTTATCCAGATGAATATCAAAAGATCTACGATAAGAATCATCATAGGGATTTGAGTATACTCACGATAAACTATAATCCGAGTAGGAAATCTAGTTCGATGGTATCATTCGTAACATTAAATCGCATGGTAACGGACCTATAAAAAGTCCCATCATCTATCTCAATGGATTATTACGTCAGTGTGCTTGAAATAGGAAAAGGGTCGTGTACGGATTTACACGCGATATTAGTACACGCAATGTGTATGGATTCGTAATAGTGAGTATTAGTAAAGTGTGTGTGTGTGTATATACGTACGTATGTATATCTATATATATATATATATATATATATATGTGTAATGTTATCGTTAAGTGTATTTTAACACGCTACCGAAAATATTTCTTTCGTGGGAAACTTACAATCAATTTACTTCGAAATAGTAAAAAAATATGACATTTTTATGAAATAATAATAATGATTATATTGTGAAGAAATATATTGTAGATATAAATTGTTTCAATTGGACGAACGAATTTCATGGTTTTCAAGAAAAAAAAAAAAAAAGTAAATAATAATGAAAGTAAATTAAACGATAGTAATGATTATTTACAAATATCATAGAGATCAATTATATAGTGATTATTCAGTGATCATTTATCGAAATTACGATGAATATTTATGAGAAAAACACGAGTATTTTTTTTATGAGAAAAAAAGTAAGAAAAAGAATTTTTGTTTCTTTTTTCTTTTAATGTAAAAAAAAAAAAAAAAAAAAAAAAAAAAAAAAAAAAAAAAAAAAAAAAAAAAAAAAAAAAGAGAGAGAGAGTTACGATCAAAAAAATTGTTTTAGACAAAAAATTACGAAATTACATAGAGAAGATCAATTATTAATTATTATTATCGTCGATCGAAAATTTTGAGCACGAGCATCTACAAAGTTTTGTCGAATAGTTTTCTTCCAAACAACAAGTTAAGATTAGAAGTAAATTTCCAAAGAAAATGTCTTCTACATACAAAATACGTGTTACAAACGATAAGAGCTAGATAAGAGAAAGAGAAGAGAATTGAGAAGAATACCTTGAAATTCGAAAACATGAAAGATTATAAATTTACTATAAAAATACGTATTTTACTTGCTTTACAATTGGCGAAACGTAACGAGAAAAAAAGATTTCTTTTCATTTGTACGATTTAACGATTTTAAACGAAATGTTTTTCTAAATTGAATGAAAAGATAAAAAAGAAAATACATACAACAGTTAAAGATAAAGATAAAATAAATTCTCTCTCTCTTTTTTATTTTTTTCTTCTTTTTCGTTCACTATAATACAATAACATAAATGTACTTCGAACTAATATATAGAAAAAATAATAGAACTAAGATTCTCTTGACAAACTAATTGACACATTTAATTGGAGGATAATAAATTAAAAATAAAAAAAAAAAAGAAAAAAGAAAAAATAAGTTGATCAATTAAATGTATACAATTTTCGAAAAAAAATAAAAACAAAAAATCGATCGAAATAGAAAACCCATAGAGAAAATTTCAACTAAAAACTATGCGATCAAATACATGTTGATTTACGGAAATGAATCTAATTGATTGATGGTTGAATATACAGGATTGGCCATTGAAAGACTGAAGGATTTTATCTTTTTATATTTTCTTCTTTTGTAGGTTATAGAACATCCCTTAGAGATTAAAATGGCCACCCTGTACATATACATATTATACATGTAGTATCGAATGGCAGTAAATTTATATTCGATTCATATTAAAATATATGTCGATAATTCATCGTTGCTAATCTCGATTATAACAAGTTACTTAAACAAATGAAATATCTCTAATTAATCATGATGTAATAAACAGAATAATAAACAACAATAAATTATCGTATCCTTCTAAATAACTAAAATATATAAAGATGTTAAATATATTTGAAATATCTGAAGATTTTGTATTATACATATATATTGTATACATAAAATAAAATCGATCACGCACATTGTTCAAAATGATGCTTATACGTACGTATATATATATATATGACGATCGATTTATGTCCTATTTACAGCAAAACGTAGATCGAAAATTGTTTGTTACAAATCTTGATTGTAACAAGTTCGTTAAACAAATAAAAATATTTCTGTGAAATTTTTTAAATAACTATAAAATACATAAGTAAATATTAGATATATATTTAAACTTTTAATACATTTAATACTTTAATAATGAGTCATAGTATACATACGACACGTACATAATAATGTCGATCGTTGTCAAACAGGATTGTCGAGTACGGCCAACGTAGAAATGTCAAAATCGTGTGCCCGTAGTAGCCGGCACACGTTATTATTGCGAACTCGCCGCATTTTTGACACTCAGCATCTCCTCTCTCTTTTTCTCTATGTTTCTATCTCCATCTCTATCTCTATCTCTATCTCACTCTTTCTCTCTCTCTCACTCACTCTCTCTTCCCATTTCTCTTTCTCTCTCTCTTTCTCACACTATTCTGGAATCGATCCAAGCGCGCCGATTCTGTTCCAGTGCAAAGAGAGACAGACAGACAGAGAGAGGAGAGTGAGAGAGAGAGAGAGAGAGAGAGAAAGAGAGGTAGAGATAGAGAAAGAGAGAGAGAGAGAGAGAGACACTTCCACTTTCAAGACGTACAAGTGAGACAGTAAATTCGCGAACTAACTGAAAAGGACCATTAAAGTAAAGATAATTTAAAAATATGATACTGATTACAAGTACAAAAATAATGAGAAATGTTTTAAAAAAAAAAAAAAGAGCGAGAGAGAGAGAGAGAGAGAAAGAGAGAGACAAGGACAACATGGTTATAAGGATGATGATCTTGTTTAGATTCGTATTGATCGGTAGAAGAGTCAAAGTCCGAGCTTGTGAAAGGATACGAGAGAAAAAGAGAGAGAGAGAGAGAAAGAGAAAGAGAGAGAGAGAGGGAGAGAGAGAGAAAGAGAGAAGAAGACTATCCTCGCTAGCTAGCTTGAAGTATCTTTAATAGAGAGAGAGAGAGAGAGAGAGAGAGAAAAAAAAATTGAAGAGGGATTACAGCGATCGATTATTTCGGATCACCACCCTCGAGGTGGACACGTATATAGGTATGTATATGGGTCAGAAATGTCATCGTTGCTTTCCTACGCTTGTTTGTAATTATAAGGTGTTTCCTTAAACGATGAGAAAATTTTCAAAAACTAATGCTATTATAACAACATAACCTCTACATTGACCTTACGTACATTTTAAGAATTTTTCATTCTTTTTTGCTTTTCTTTTCTTCTCTTTACTTTTTTCTTTCTTTTCTTTTTTTTTCTTTTTTTTTTTTGTACATTACATGACGAATAGTGGAAACGAACGTGTGAATTACACACTTTAATACTCTACCTACCTATATAATATACTTACACGACCAACGTATATTTGCGCACGTATATATATGTGTATAAATCCTAATATATATATATATATATATATATATATATATATATATATATATATATATAAATGGGAAAAAAGAAAAAGACTCAAGATATATAAAAAAAAAAATAGAAGAAAAGAAGAAAAAAAAAAAAATATATATATATATATAAAATATTGCGATTAATTTACGATGATTTAAGGGAAAGAATATAAAGAAAATGAAAGGAAGAAATGAAAGTGTTTGTCTTTTGTTTTTTGTCTTTTATTATTATATCTTTAAGTAATAATAAAAAGAATAACTCACCTCAAAGTCGCAATGGATAATCTCGGAATCGTCCAAAAGTCGAATAGTGGCGCGGTGCACCACGGTAACGTCGCTCTTGCTACCGAACTTCAACATTTCTGTCCTCAAGTCGGCACCCCTATTATCATCCCCCCCGCGGCCCTCGTCATCCCTTACCCCACAGCACCACACACTGCCCCGTTTGATTAGGCACGTACCGCCTTCGCGGTTTTGGCGCAGACGGTGACGTTTACGGTCACCGGCGCGCTCCTACTATCCTCCTCCGTGATCCTCGTTGAGCTGACACGGCGCACGACGGCACGGTACGGTGGTGAACAACGACGACGCATCACCGTCGCGGCGAACACACAAAGCCTGATGTCCGTGCTACCGACTCTGTACTTAGCTACTACCACCTCTAACTCTAACTCTCTCTCTCTTTCTCTCTCTCTTTCTCAGTCTCTCTTACTATTGCTTCGTTCGAACGGGCAGCGACGTTGCCACTTTTCCATCCGAGCGTTTACAACGTTGCCATCTTCTCCAGTCACTCTCTCTCTCTCCTCTATCTTTCTAACTATCTGTATCTCTCTCTTTCTTTCCGCGGAACATGCGCTATAACTTCGTTCGACCGAATTCATTCCTAACCTTATATTACCTACAGCAGTAATATCATTTACGTTCAACCAAAGATCTATATCTTCTGTGTTAATCGATCTTTCCTTATTTAAAAATTATACAATAATTAATGTCGCCAATATTGATATTCGTTTAGCTGATACATTGAAATAAAGACGTCGTAGTTAATCGATTTGTATTATCGACTGAAACACGCACACACTTATCGTTCAATTATCGTCATATTACGACTATTGTTAAAATAGTACTCTACATTATCGATATCCAATATACGACGGTATTAGTAGAAATATATTAGACGAAATACAAGCTTTAATTCATATATCCTTCCGCGACGAGGTGTTGTAGTCAACTGTGGCGTTCGTGTCGTATCACCTCGCGTCTCGTCGGATTGGTCTAGCTGTTGGAGTTGCCATGGCGGGGAGGGAAGGCAGACGAACGGGAGTCGACTGAGTGGGGGTATAGAATGAGCCGTAGTGGTGGGGATTCAGCCCGGGGGACATCGAACAAAGGTTGATCGCGTCGAGAGCCGCATTCACGATTCAAACATGGCAGCGGCTACCAGCGTTGTCGTCCTGGACAGGGGCAACAATACCACCTGCACGATCAATTTACACGGTGCGTTTTTCGCGAGTACATACATAAAAAGATAAAAAGAAAAAGAGAATGAGAGAGAGAGATATATATATAAAGATATATATATATATATATATACATATACATATATAATAAAAATTGGTGGCAAATGATAAACATCGGAAGAAAGAAGAAAACGATCGTAAAACTACGATCTTTGAACGATTTCAACGACGAATGTGCGAAACGGTTCGGTGAATCGGAAAAAGGGAGAGATAGTTTCCTCTCTCGTTCTCGTGAAAAATAGACACATGAATAACATGAATAGTGCTAAATACAAAATTAATTTGTTATTTCTCTTCAGTTCATTTCTACGTTAATATTCATATGATAAATATTTGAGTACGCGAGTATGTGACGTGACAAAACGAGAATAATATTATTCGCATAAACGATCATCTTACGTTTTACGTGTATTTATTTTCTTTGGTTATTTATTTCCGTGCAATGAATCGATGTGAAGTTCGAAACGCAAAGTATATATATATATGTATATATCTATAGATGTATGTATATATATGTATATATATATATATATATATATATATATCATCGATTAAGTGATCGTATATCGATACGCCATATTCATTTTCATTAGCTTTAACTCGGAATTAAGATTTCACTATTGTTTCTTTTTTTCTTCGTTCCTTTTTTTGTTCTTTTTTTTTTTTTGTTTCAAAATGATTTGGCATGGATCGATACGATTCCTTATTTCGAAACGAACGAGAGATATAAAATGTTCAGAAAAAAAGAAAAAAGGAAGAAAAAAAGAAAAGAAAAAAAAGCAAGCAAACGAGTTGAACCCAATGTTTTTCCTTTACTTTAAAAAAGTGGCGGGCGCTTCTATCTGGGTTAACGTCAAATTCGAAAAATGGCGGGTTCGCTTACGCGCGTATTTCAATCAAAACAATAAGATTTTAATCTTTATTATATTTATCGTATTAATTTTAATTTTCACAGGTGCGACCGTTGTTTCATGGCGTGTGAACAATCAGGAGCAACTCTTCGTTAG